ATTTAAAAAATGGAACATTCAATAAGAATACAAGAGTATTCAATTAAAGTAAAAGTATGTGATGTGAAAATGTAAATTTACCTCAGACATAACATGGAGGTGTTTTTTCAAAGTACCACACAGAAAAGCGACGCAAGTGTGATAGACCTGCATCAACTTATAAGGTGGGCTTTAAAATCCAGTTGATTAAGAAACTCCATTAAACGTTTAAGTGATGATGAAAGCTTTGGCCATTAACAATGAGGACCGAGAGTCCACAACAACTGTGCCACAACAAAGCACAACACAAAAGGGGACACAAGCACACAAACATATCAGACTCTCATGAGCACAGGACAATGACACGGATCACAAAAAATTCAAATAAAGTATAAGGTACATTAGAAGTAAAGATATACACAGTCCAACGCCTCGTTCGCTCCTGCACACGACACTCACGTCACATTGTTGTTGTGGTCCACAACCAGCCAGTAGCGGCGGTAGAGCCGAGCGTTCGCCGAGTGTCCCAGGGCCCCCGCCCGCCCGGAGGCCAGGGGATGGTGTCAGAAGGAGGCGCACGGCGGTCCCGTGGTCTCGGGCGAGAGGAGCGGCGCCCCCGACCCTCTGAAGGACGCACAGGGGCTGCTCGGGGTGCTGCTGCTCCCACTGCTCGTCGTGCTCAAGTTACTCGAGCTGCTCAGGTTGTTGTTGTTATTGCTGGAGGTGGTGATGCCGTTATTGTTGTTGTGGAAGGCTGGCGACTGCACGACATAGTGGGTGAGCCGGGTGGGCAGGCAGCCGGCGTTGAGCTGGTAGAACTCGACCAGCTGGAGCACGTCGTAGAACTTGGTGACGCCCGAGTCCAGCGAGTAGCAGATGGCGTCTCTGACGGGGTCAACCACCTGCACGAGAAAGAGGGAGGTGAGATAGAGAACCGGCAGCGGCAACGCCGCAGAGATGGCACCGCGATAAGGGGCGGGAGCACTTACCGGCTGGATCTGCGTGTGGAGCACCTTCCCCGCGCACTTGAAGGTCAGGACGAACGCGCCCGGCGAGCTGCGACTGTCCCGCACCAAGAACACGCTGCAAAAAGGAAACGCACATTAGCAAAACGGGACGAGGAGGCGGCCGCTGCCGGCGGGGAAGTCCGCCACTGCCACTACCCCGCGCCGCGCGGTGGCGGGTACGCGTGGCGGGGGGTATCGCTACTGTACAGTACTCACCCGTCCACCGTGCCGTGCCTGCTGACAAGCTGGGCAGCCTGCTCGCGGGTCATCCCCGAGTGGAACCAGGGCTGCGTCGTGTGGATGCCCGACTCGAGGCCGAGCGCGGCCGCCCCCGCGGCCCCCGCCGCCCCGACCGCCCCCGGGGGCCCGCCGCCGGGCGCGAGCGACTGGTTCATGCGCCGCCAGCGGCGCTTCCACGAGTAGCCCTCGGCAGCGGCGATCGCCTTGGCCTCCTTGGGGTCCTCCACGATGCGGCCTACGGCGCCGGTGAAGTCCATGGCGACGCGCGAGCGCACGCTCTCCTGCAACAGGAACACGCCAATGAGCCTCTGCTATTTCACACAGCAGCACATAAGAAATCGAAGGGTACTTCATTATTAATTCAAGCGTGCGACGGTTTAGATAAGAAGAACCTAACTCATTTTTTAAAAACTCATAATTTGCTGTGATTTTTAATTGATGTTTTAAAATTGTTTTTGAGGGTGTATACACTGAATTTTTCGAGTGAAGTATCCTCTCGAAAGAGATACTTACGATCGGAACGGTATAGCTGTTGTAATCTTTGGAATTGATGCTCTCCACCTGCTTGTTCTTGAAAGAACGGTAGTTCTCCCTGAGTTGACGTCCATACTGCAACAACGACAGGAAAAAAAGAAAGTGAGATCCTCCGTCGACCCATACTAGTACCAGGACCACACCACCTCCAACACGATGTGAGAGAGACCTGCAAAGAGCGAGCTAGGCCCCTCTCCTTCGATAGGCGAGAGGCATTTAGCTCGTGTAGGTCGCTCTTTTCAGGTATCCCGGAGCCCCACTCACCTTAGCGAGCCGCATGGCAGTGAGCAGGCAGGTCCTCACGCGCTCAGAGTCGCACGCGAGGCACTTGAGCGAGGCGACGCCCTCGTTGTTGTCCCTCTCGCCGCCCGAGGGCCGCAGGCACAGGCCCCACTCGGTGGGCGCGCGGAGCTGGTTGCGCGCGTTCAGGCACGAGTAGACGGTGTAGTCCCGCAGGCTGCACAGCAGCTGGACACCGCCGTGCGCGTCCACATCGCCCTGAAACAAAAGAGAGATGCACACCGATAAGAAACCGTTTTCAACTTCCTCCTGCGCCCCGGCAGCAGCCGCCAGCAGTCGCTTTCCTCAGTCCCCCCGGGTTTCTTTTGTCTTTTTTCGAATAGAATTTGATATTCTCTAGGCGTCGCCGGAAGCGTCATGAGCGCTCTGATGGTCGGTTGGGCGGTGCTGACCCGCTCACCGGTAGACAGCTCACGCCTCTGGCGTGCAGCCTGCAGCCCCGCGACCACGTGGCCGCAGCGGCAGCGGCAGGGGACGCATGGG